TATATATATATATATATATATATATATCACACGAGAAAGAGAGAGAGGTTTAACTTTAAAAAAAAAAAAAAAGGAAGAAGGGTTGGGGCACACAACCACAACGAGTGAGAGAAATACAGCCACAACCACGGATAGAGAGATGGGTCTCTTTGCCCCAATCTTAGAGAGAGAGGTGGAGAGAGAATTACTGTGGGAAAGAAAGAGAAAGAGAAAGAGAAGACTTGTTGCTATTGCATAAAGCTTTAGAACAAATTATCGTTTAATGTACAAATCGGCTTAGTTTTATAATAAATCGGCTGATTAATGCACTATATGAAAATATATAATCAATAGAATCGAGTAAACTCGCGATACCGACACAGAGATAGTTGGCCGAGATTTTGAAAAATGATTTTATCTTAGTCGCATCAAATAACTGCTCAAGAACCTCAAGTCATCCCTTCATTCAGCCCACGAGAATAGCAAACCAAAAAAGGCAGTCAACTCTACAATTTTAGAGTTTGCAATGTATTGCCCATCTTCATTAATTTCATAAATAAAGGACAATTGGGGACGTCGACGTGGGGAGTCGAATCGGCGTTTCAGGGTCAAGGCTGTCGACATTTTCTCCTCAAGGTACGAGTGTAAATTGGGCATCCTTTTAGGGGCATTTAAATCTTTTCCAATAGATTGAAAAAGACAAGCTAAAAGATTTCTTACTCCACCTGTACTATTTGTTTACGCCCTCAAATGAAATTGGGATACTTTTTAGATCTTAAACTCAACGTGTCACACGGTTCCTATGAGTCCACGGCATCATTCCTATGTAGAAATACGGGCTTCTTAATAATTTATTTTAAAAATAAATTTTAATCTTAATTTTTAGAGATTATATAATATTTAAAATTGTTATTCTGTAAAAATAAATAAACTTTAAAAACAAAAAAAAAATTTAAAAAAAAATCTTGAACAGTTGATTTTACTTTTGAGGCCCGGTGGACGGCGTAGATAAGCCCGCATAGTAACCGGTGCGAGCTTGGGCGCACCGAACAATTTTTTCATAAACTAGTCCCAATAAAAAGTTCTCAAATAAAGTCTCTATATGCTAACTATGCTCCAACAGGATGTTTGTTGTGCATATACTCCCTCTCACAAAACACCTATTTAAGAAAAAAACAATTTAGTTTAAATTTTTTACAACCACATAAGAATTACTGGAATACTTTAAAAAGAAAAGTATCTCCAAAATTTGAGATCTAAACAAAATCCGCATGGGTTTTGCCTGAGGCAGTAAATTGATAGTGTACTCCCTAGGGAGTAGTGAACCTCTTAGGTAATAGAAAAACCGAATGACTCAAGATTGAATAGAGATGATCAAAATTTTCAAAGGATAGATCTAAATTTCATGAAACTTAAAATTCATTTTTTTTTTGTTTTCTTTGCCTAAGGTGTTCTCGGTGAGGGAGTAAATACACAGTATACTCCCACAAGAACATAGAAAAATCCTTTTTATTAATACATCACCATTCTTTCATAAAATAATTAAAACAAGATCGCTATAGTCAAATTTATTTTTAAAAAAAACTATCTCAAACTTTTAAAATAATGTTATATATAACCCCACTATTTTCTTTCTTGGCAATCCCTGAAATTTTTATACCACGTACCAATCACAATATTGTTTTTTTTTTTTCAACCACCCAGTTTAGTGCAAAAGTTATGCCCAAATTATCCTCTTTTTGGTGCTGTTTCCACTTTCTTTCTGTAAGCTAGATGGGTTAAAATGAAGAGTATTTTGTTTAAAAACATAAACTTTTTTTTACTTGCAGTTGGTTGTAATGAAAAATAACATTGGGGTTAATAGTGTGGTATCAATAATGTTTGATAAAAATGTGTAAAATGTACAAATTAGGGGTTGCTTATAATATTTTCAAATTTTTATAGAGAAACTCTATCAAAATTTTTAGAGCTAGAAACCATATCAATTTTTGAGTTTTTAGAGGGGGAAATCTCTTAATTTTTTGGATTCCTTGAGAGAGAGAAGGGATGGAAAAGAATGGAGTATTTTAGTTATGAAAAACATAATATTTAAAAAAGGGTGCGGTTTGTACATAGCCAAGGCTCTAAACAATTCAAATAACGCCCACTTTCAAATAGTATCGAGAAATGTGGATTTAATATTGGAAATCTCTGTGATAGCCTTAAACTATATTTTCATCTTTAATTATAAAATTTAAAGCTTAAAAAATATTTTAGATCGAACATATCTATTAAAACTTGAAACTATTGAAAATTGACAGTAAAAAAATAAGTTACAAGATGCATTATTTCCAAAACTTGAAATTCATTTTTTCTCATGTCCATGCATCTTGATGTCGAGGTTGATCAATTTGAAGATATTTGGGGGTCAAAACAATATCTTCTAGTTTAATTTTTGAGGTGGGCTCTAATTTAATTGTTTACAGCCTTGGCTCTTCATAAAATTTTTTTCTTAAAAAAAATACTATCTCACTTGGAGGGTGGATGCAAAAATAAATAATATTTACTTTTAGTGGAATTTTCGTGGGCTCTAATTTAATTGTTTAGAGCCTCGGCTCAATATAAATTTTTTTATCTTAAAAAGAAATTATCTGACTTGAATGCCAAAAAAAATAATAGTAGACTCAACAGTTTGGTTTAAAAAAGCATGACATATATTGGAAGTTCGATATCTACGATACTTTCCATTTACTACTTTCTAGATATCCAATCACCACCCTCCAATATAGGGGTATTTTCGTCAATTGATGTAGAAAAATGCTAGCTTTCCGTCCAGTTCCAAAACTACGAGAAGCCATTTTCACCGGCCACTTATAAAAGGAAACCGGGGGCATTTTAGTAAAATATCCCATTCAGTCCCGGTCTTCAAACTCATCGCCAATTTCCTAGGGCCCCGGCCCCGTCGTATTTTCCGCCTATAAATTCACAGCACCCAACGTTTCGGTGTTGTATTCCAGGAATCTCTCCATCTTACTTTTTTTTCCATCCCATTTTTTTCTCTCTAGTCATTTAAGCTTATATCACTCTATTTATTTTATGATGACTCGCCCACTGTTTCTCTATTTATTTATAACCACTCTTTCTTTCGTTTCTCTTTCTACTTGAGTCGGTATTTTTACAGTATCTTTATTTTTTTCCCTTACGAACAGGTTTTTTTTTTCTATTCTTGTTCGTCTGTAAATTCTTTTCCCAAGGTCCGACACGGAGATCTACTGCATGTCAACCTGCTTAAATTTTTGCCAGCGGTGCATCGGTGAAGGTGATCTTCTCGCTCCACTTTATCTTCTATTTATATTCTCTTCTATTTCCAAAGTTCCAGAGAGATGACTTGGTGTTTCAAATGCAGGGTTCCCTGTGCATAAGTTTTCTCTTGAATTGGCGTGATTCTTTTCCTTCTGCTGTGTTTTTAGGTCGAGTTCAGTCATTAACTTTCTTTAACTTCTCTGTTGTTGTCGTTTCGATTGTGCTGGAGATCGATTCAATTTTCATTCGAACTTGTTTTGCTTCTCTTATTTTGTAAAATCTCTGAAGAAGTGCTTAGAAGCTTTGATCTCTATTGGAAGTTCCATTGAATTCGAGCTGGCTTTTCTACTGATTCGGAAGCTCTTTCGATTTTTCATTAGAGCTGTTCTTTTGCCCAACAAATGATCACGAGGTGTTTTTACATTCTGTTAATTCAAGAATTTGAAAATTAGATCCATTCCCACTTATTTTCCTTCCCAAATGTTGAGTTTTGATGTTTCAATGAATTTGAATAGCTTCATTTTTTTTTTTCTCTCCCCCTATTTGCTTGTTCCTAGTACAATTTTATTAGCAAAACAATTTTTTGTCAGTTCACTAAAACAGAGAAAAGCAATTTATCTTTGAGTGGTTTTACATGCAGTGTATTTAGCCTTGCTAGTAGCAGGCTTTTGTCATACTTTTCCCTGTCAAAAAGCCTTTGATTGTTTCCTTTTTTGAAAAAAAAGAAAAAAAGCTATTGAATCCAATTATTACCATCAGGTAAATCCCTTTCCCCCCTTTGCTTTATTTTGCCATGAACATGTCTCTTTTATTCCATACATTATCTGTCAATGAAAATAAATAATATTTCTTTAACTCATGGTTCTATTTCTCGAAGTACCCATTTCTCTTTCGAAAGTGCTTTATTTTCTGTTCAATTGATATCCTAATATTAGGAAATGTATCTGCTGTACTTTCATCATGGGTGATGTCCTAAGGCCTTCTGTTTTTGTTTCTTTCTTGTGTTTTTGGAGGAGCAAATTGGTGTTTTGCAAAGCGAAAGTTTGATCATAGGAACATTTCTTTTTGGAAATCTGTTTGACTGGTTCTAGTCAATGTCTCAGCCGTTTCGTGTGAACAGATGCTTGATTTTGAATACCTCTTGCTACTTCTTGTTACGTGTTTGTGTATAACATTTCCTTCTTTTCCCTGTACTTTTTTCTTTATATTTTACTTTGTATAACTCCTTTTTTCCCTTTATTTTTATTTTATTTTTCTCTTTTTTTTTTTTTAAACAAGCACACATATAAATTTCCTCCCTTTATTTGTATTTTATTTTACTTTTTTTTTTTTTGTGAAACAAGCATTCCTGCTACGTTTGCCCGAGAAATTTGGAAAATAATAGAAGGTTTATGTTTTGACTTACCTTAGCTTCCACTCAATCTGAAATTCATTAAAATATTTTGTTTTCTGTTAAAGGTGGCTTCCATACTTTTTGTCTTTTTAATTTTTCTCAATTTTTTGCCAACTCGAAGTAGTTGGGAAAAGGCGATGATGGATTTTTCTAAATTTTTAGTAATTAATATGTTTGTGGTACCTGCCTGTGGTTTGACTGCAAGTTTGCTAAATATTCTAGTAGTGAATCTCAGAAGATACTTTCTATTTGAAATTTCTATCTTGAAAATTCTATTGTTCTATGGTTCAGACTTTAGAGGGATTTTTCAGGTTTCTACTTTGTCCTTGCTTTCCTGAATCTCCGGTATTTCTTGATTTGAAATTGTCTTTCTTGATTTGGAATTATTTTCTTCTTTTTGTTTTTTTCGAAGGCTTTGCTGGGAATATCAGAAGTTGATTTCTTCATGTATTTGCTTTTAATTTTGCTTTGTGTTTTTTTTGTTTTTCTTTATGTGTGTATATAGTCATGTCTTCTGTAATTTTCATTAAAATTTTCTCAAGAGCTGCTTGCAGATTTGATCTTTTTTCTGAAATACTTCACAATTAGCCATTTCTGTTTTCTAAAGTGCTTGTAATTTGAATTTTATTGTGTTTCCTTTTTCATTTATTTCCTCCTCTCCATAAGAGTTTGCTTTCTCTATAGCAAAACTGAAAATTTGATTCCTGAGATATGTTCTATTTGTTGGGACCACTAGAATATTGACTCACGTTTGTCATAGTTGTCTATAGGGGTGGTGAGGTGCTGGTCGCTGTATCCTGAAAATCAGTTCGTGTGAAGTATTCAGAACCTTGTGGTGGTCTCTTTCATTTAAACATAAAAGTGAGAAGGCAATCATGCCTGCACAGATGGCAGAATTTGACTGTGAGAGTGTTATAGAAGCATTTGAAGTGGCTACAAAAGATGCGGAAAGGGTCCAGAGAGAGACTCTGAGGAGGATTCTTGAGGAGAATGGTGAAACAGAGTACTTGCAGGAATGGGGTCTCAGAGGAAGGACAGATCCTGAGAGTTTTAAGGCTTGTATTCCTTTGGCAACGCATCAGGATCTAGAGCAGTATATCCATAGAATTGTAGATGGGGATACCAGGCCTATACTTACCGGAAAAACTGTGACAACCATATCATTAAGGTAACTTATCAGATCAATTTATTTAGTTGCATGTAAAATCTGAATAGAAATATTGGAGATTTTTTAAAAGGGGAAATACTGTCTCCAGAGTAAATGAAGAAAACCTGATATTTGGAAAATTTAGGGTTGTTTAATATCCTTTCTTTTGTGTTTGGCGAATTTTGATTCTCAGTTGTTTCTTGCAGTTCTGGGACTACTCAAGGAAAACCCAAGTTTGTACCTTTCAATGAGGAATTGCTTGAGAACACAATGCAGGTGTTTCAGACTGCATTTGCTTTCAGGAATAGGTATGCGAATTCTGATCTGTATGTATGCATAATTGTGTATAGGTATATGTATAAGAGTTTAGGTACGTGTTAACAATTAGTCCTAAATGAAAGATTATTTAGCCTGGGGCCAATATCCAAGTGAGTGCTTTGAGTGATCCTGACTTTATTCCATTGATATAGTTCTTTTATAAAACTTCTCCTCTGAAGATTATTATTATTATTGTTATTATTATTAGTTTTAACTCTCCGACTCTCCAGCTTTGTCAATTTTAGTTATTAGTTATCATTTAATATCTGATGAGAGTCCTTTGTGAGATTTTGAGTGCCTTGTGCCTTGTGGCTACTAAATCATATCACGTATTCATGCCGCACCAGCTTCTAGTGTTTTTTCTTTAGTCGTTTCAGTTATCTATTGCATACTGCCTGATTCATATGGACCAAATGACTTCCTACATATGTAATTGACTGATTCATATTAATTCAAGCTTTAATTTTACAGAGAATTCCCAGTCACGAATGGGAAAGCCCTGCAATTTATCTACAGCAGCAAGCAGTTCAAAACCAAGGGGGGCCTTGCAGCTGGAACTGCCACAACAAATGTGTTTCGGAGCGAACGTTTCAAGAAAACAATGAATGCCATTCAGTCCCAATGTTGTAGCCCTGATGAAGTCATATTTGGACCTGATTTCCAACAAGCTCTCTATTGTCATTTACTTTGTGGCCTAGTCTTCTCTAACGAGATACAGTATGTGGCTTCCACATTTGCCCACAGCCTCGTGCATGCTTTTCGAACTTTTGAACAACTATGGGAAGAGTTATGCATGGATATAAGGGAAGGAGAGATCAGCAATAGAATTACTGTTCCTTCCATTAGAACAGCTGTTAGTAAATTACTAAAAGCTGACCCCCAATTGGCCAATTCCATTTATGACAAGTGCAGTAAGTTGAAATCCAATGACTGGTATGGACTAATTCCTGAGCTTTGGCCAAATGCTAAGTATTTGTACGGGATCATGACTGGGGCCATGGAGCCTTATCTTAAAAAGTTGAGGCACTATGCTGGTAGCTTGCCCTTAGTGAGTTCAGATTTTGGGTCTTCCGAGGGGTGGATTGGTGTAAATGTCGACTCGAGATTGCCCCCTGAAAAGGTTACATTTACTGTGCTTCCTGATATTGGGTACTTTGAATTTATCCCTCTCAAGAAAGAAGAGGTTGAGGACCAGGTCTTTGAACAAAATGCAGCCAATGCCCATTACTTGGAAATTGAGCCTATTGGTCTCACAGAAGTGAAGGTTGGGGAAGAGTATGAGATCATCCTCACTAATTTTGCAGGTAACGGCCTTTTGGCTCGCTTCCCCATCACATTTAAATTCAATGTTTTTATTCGTGGTGTTGCTGTTATATTATTGCTTTTGTTTCTTCGTCATTTCAGGTCCACTTTTAGAACTATTAGTTCTTGAGTATGTGTGTGTGTGTTTTAGACATAGAGAGGGAGGGAGAACACTAAGCATGTAATCATAGGTATATAAAATCAGTTTCCAGTCAGAATTTAGACTTTAGGAAAATCAGTTTCTATTGAAGTTGTTCTAATTTCTTTAGATAATCTTAGATTATCGAAGTTCTCTACGTCAAGAAAATTGATTTCCATTGGAAATCTTGGTTCCTTATCTCTTAAGGAGTTTATTAGCTTCCCAGCACTGCATATAATCTTACAGTTTAGTGAGGCTGTGCATCAGAAAACATATACACACAGCGCTTTATAATAGAGTATGGATTGGTTGCGACTTAGAATTAGCATTCATTTTTAAATCGAACAGAGATAAAAACTGGCAAATAGAGTTTAGCTTTATTTCTAAGCTATTTTCTGTAACGAACTGGCAAATAGAAATTGGCACTTATTTCCAAGTCAATTTTTGTAAACAACCGGCCGATAAAGTTTGCATTCATATTTAAGTTGATCTGAGTAAACAAGTTGCGAATATCTGGAAGGTGGGGTTGGTTATTTTGAGTATTCAAAGTTAAGATTCTGCAGAGATCCTTAGAGTAGTGTTGTCGTCCCATGGATTCCCACCTCAAAAAGAAGAGATCCAGTGCTGCTACAACAATTAGCACTAATTTGTTTTTACTTCTCTTCTATCTGTTATAGTCGTCCATGCACACACTTTGGCAGCAACATTTTTCACCCTAAACCGCTGTATAGACTAGTTTACACGTCGGCCAACTCGGGTTTCGATTCATCTGAATGGACGGCTTGGAGATTGGGCAGGTTAGGTCACCACATGTCTAACCCTACCATTAAGGATCTAATATGATAATGTATGTAATAGTGATGATGATCATGTCAATGGCTTTGTAAATTGAACAAAATGTCAATTGTTAGATCATTATTTATTTGAGATAGACCATAACTTGCCTGGACTATTAGCCTTTAAAGTAGGACCCATCCATGACTCTGCGTCACGATTGGGCCGATATTACAGCTATTCAAGCTTCTTTTCAAATGTTTTGGGCCTGCATGAACATTGTGATTGGTTAAAGTTTGAGAGGGTCTATGCCAATTTGGAAAATCTGTGCTTTGGAACCATATGTTAGGTATGAGATTGACAATTATTAAATGGAAAAAGTTCAAACCATGAGCTAAGTATGTGAATATAAAAACTTGCATATTTTTACTACTTTGATAGGAGTGCTTGGTATAATACTAATATCACAACAGGTCCCAGCAAAACATTTAAAAAATCCAAAGGGAAGATATTTCAGATTTAGCCAAGGATATTCTTAATTGATCCACTAATGCAAAATTAAAACAAATGAATGGAGACTTCTGATTAAAAAGCTCTAGTTTTGTGAATGATGTGCACTTGAAGAGAGGCTCTTTTGTGGCGTTCTTTTCTCCTTTTGTTCCAATGAGATTGGGCTTTCCTTTTTTGCATGCAATGAAGCCCAACTTTGGCATATTTGTTGGTAATATTTGGGTCAAGCCATCTCCATGTGTGACATTGTTTTTGAGTGGTTTGTCCCCTTAGGCTCTTCTCCTGCTTTCTCATTCAAGTGAACCTCTTTTCTTTGTTGTACTTTTACCTGCCACCCTTTTCAGTAGTTTATAAGGTAAAAATTGCTGACTTGACTTTAGAAAGAAAAATAAAAGGAAATATATAATAAGTGTATATCCTATGCTCCTACGGGCACAAACTGTGTATCTACTCCCTCACACAAAACACTTAGAAAAAAAATTTGTCTAAAATTTTGGGAACCACATCTAGATGATTATTTTCAAAAGAAAGAAAATTTGAGTTTTGTGATACTTAGATGTAGCCCTTTAAAAAATGAACGGTCCCTATTTACTGAGATTAGCATATGGGATAATCCCCAAAATATGATATCTAAAAAAGAACCCTACTATGTACTATACCCCTGGGGGTAACAGGTAAACAGATAGTATACTCCAGTGGGAATAGGAAATCTGTAAATAGATAGTATACTCCAGTGGGACTAGGAAATCTTTTGTCCCCAAAATATGATATCTAAAAAATACCCTACTATGTACTATACCCCAGGGGGTAACAGGTCAATAGATAGTATACTCCAGTGGGAGTGGGAAATCTTTTGGCTTATATGATTGCCTCTAGACACTTGGAGGTGCTAATAATTAGATGGAAAAGTAGGGTTAAGAGAGAATATTAGCTGGAGCCCAATAAGGGCACAAATAATGATGATATTATAAAGTTGGGTTAGGTTTTGCGGCGTAATTGTGCTTATCGCTTGCTACTTTGTTATAGGGGTGAACAGAGGGATTAGTTAGCTTTAGGTTTATTTTATTGAAATTTAAAACTGTTTATTACCTGCACAATGCTACTTAGTGGGCAGTAAAAGCAGGTGTATGAAAGTGGGGTCACTACTTTTGAAAACCAAGTACACACTTGTAGCAGTATATGTTTTGTTATTGGGTGTGCATGACACAGAGGCACATGCATGCGTGTCTCCCAACGATGACCAAAATAATAAATGAAAATAAAGAGGATAATGGGGACCATTCTTGCCTAAATGGCTCTATGCATTTTTAAGAGATTCTTACAAAAAGTCATTTTTCTTTTTTAAATTAATGCATTGTTTAATATTTGGAAAAAGTTTATATCTTATGGGTATTTTGAAAGGGAAAAGTTTATATAGAGCCGTGGCTCTAAACAATCAAATTTGAGCCTATCTCAAAAATTTCACTAGAAGAGGATGTTTTGATGTTCAAATATCTTCAAATTGATCATCCCGACAACAAGAAGCATGGACACGAGAAAAAAATGGATTCAAGTTTTGGAAATAGTGTATTTTGTAATGCATTTTTGGATCGTCAATTTGATTGTTTAAAGCTTAAGCTTTATACAAACCGCACGCACCCATTTGGAAATGGCTCTAATTTGATTGTTTAGAGCTTAGGCTCTATACAAACCGCACCCATTTGGAAATGGGTAGGTATTGTGTCCCTGTGCTGTAGATTTTTAATAGTTCGGATTGAACCGTCCTCATCCAAGGGCTAAAAATAAATTTTATTTTTTATTTGAAAATATATTAATTTGAAATTTAGGTTGTGGCCTTGTTTAGGGGTGGTTTGGTTATTTTTTATTTAACATATATTTTAATTATTTTTATTTAATTCTATTTATAAAAATAAACGTACAACCTACAATTCAGATAAATATTTTATCTAAATAAAATTACAAATAAAAAATAAAATATGAAATCAATTATTGGCCATTGCCGCCTTTGAAATCTCCACCCGTCCACATCATGTGTGGATACTTTTGCATAAATAAAATCAAAAGTTCCATGTGAAGTATTAAAAGTGTTCATCTGGTTAGTTTGATAAAATTTCTGCTTTTTTTATTTTTATTTTTTCTAGTGCTATGCCATTTCTCCTTCTTTTTGCTTATTTTGCTTCATCCCTTGTGAAAATCGTTAGTCTTCGGTATAGGTGTAATTGTGTAAGATTAGGGAAACTTAAATACAATTGGAGCAATAATAAATTTATTAAAAAAAGGAGGGCATCAGGAAAATAATTCTTATTTTCCTTTTGTATATTATCATTTTCCATTTTTATATAGTTATTGTTTCCCAATAACTACCCGAGTATTTCCCATAAGAAAAAGAAAATTATTTAAAATCTCCCTTTAAAATATGTGGACTGAAAACATTTTCTAAACACTATTTTTCAACTCTTATCTACTTTTTAAGTAGTACTATAACGACGCGTGATTGTCGATCGAAACACTGGCAAAAGTTACAGTGGAAAGAGTCACGGCATCATTATTATAGTAAATAATAATGGCTTTCAACGCCACCCCCTTTTTGGCATTGCATGCGGGGGATCCCGCTAAAGGCCCTACCGTCCTTATTAAATTTCTCTCTCTCTCTCTCTCTCTCTCTATATGTCTCTCTCTTGAACATAATCCTCTCTCTCTCATACTTCTTTAATTTTAATTTCTTCTCCCCACTTTAATACATAAGCATTTTTAAAAAAAAAAAACTTTATATCCTCTATTTTTAGGTTTCATTTATGGATAAACTTAAGGTTTCATTTTAACTCGTAATTTCTTCTCCCTATTTTAATACATAAGCACTTAAAAAAAAAAAAATTTATATCCTCTATTTTTAGATTTCATTTATAGATAAACTTAAGGTTTCAAAACATATCTTCTAACTTCTTGCCACTTTAAATTTATTTTTTAACTTAAACAAATGTGAGAAAGATATGTTCTTTTTAAACTCAATCATTTATCTCTCTGCACTGATATATATCCCAAACTTATATATATCCCAAACTTTTATCTTTTTCCTTTTTTTCCTGTGTCTTTCACTCTCCTTTGGTGTTTCTCCAAATACCTCTCTCTCTCCTTCCGGTAACCTCTCATCTCCATGAAGCTTTTATTTCTCTCTAGAAGTTCGGGATGATGGATTTTAGAAAAGGCATGTCTTTTTAGATTTGTTTGGCCTAAAAAAACAAGTTTAAATTAGCGCACGGGGTTAAAAGAAATAAAATCTACAATTTTTATACCCCAAAATATCTTTTAAAACTTTGGGTCGATTGTGACATTAAACCTAAAAATAAAAGGTATGGAGATATTTTCCCGTTTAAAAAACCAAATGTTTTGAGTAGCTAAACACTTAGATTTGACCATTCAAACGACTGGACAATTTTTATGCAACCACAGGTAAAGGTGTCAATGGACCCGGACCCGACCCAGGACCCAAGGGGCAGACTTGATTCGAGTCCGGGTATGGTCCAAAAAATGGAAGCGATCCGGGTTTGGGTCCAAATCTTGGACCTGAATGCTATTCGGGTCCGAGTTTGGGTATAGGTCAAGTCTGGTAAAATTTTCAGGTCCCAATAAATATATATTAAAATATAATGAAATACATTGATATTTTAATTTTTGGATTGGGTCCAATGGGGTCCAAGTCTGGGCCCAACCAGACCTGATGCCATCCCTAACCTCAGGACATGATATTTCCATGTAGTTCCAAGATGTGCATTGAAATTTCACTTTTAGGTTGGTGTTGACTAGGTCGGATCTTAAAGTCCTAATGATACTCCGAGCTGGGGTTTTGCTGGCGAGAGCTATTATAGTTTTGATTTCAGTGGACCATATAACCTTTCAGATTTTGTTAATCCAAAGGTACACAAAGTTTTTGGTTTTTTAACGGCCCTAATTTAGGGACAGTTGCTTGGGACCATGACCACCCCTAGGATGTTTGGGTACTTGGTTGGGAACAATGCGATCACTATAATTGTCTCCCGCTCGCTTTTCCTGTTGGATGGTGATGGCAATGATCCCAAACCAAGTAGCTAGACATCTTCCCTAAATTATCGCCGTTAAATACTAGGAAAAAGCAGGCCTTATGAATCATAGGAAAAGCTCATTGAAAACGTGAGGAGAATATGATGGTGGTGGTGAGGTAGAAGACGACATTTTAGATTTATCACACAAATCTTGAAGATTCCTCATTTCTCATCTCATTACATTGTCTATCCAATGTAGACACGTAGTTGCAGTAATACACAATTGATTCTGAGAACTAATTCTCTGAGTTGAAACACGCTATTGCAGGGTTGTACAGGTACAGGCTAGGAGACATTGTCAAGGTGATGGGCTTCCACAACAGGTCTCCTAAGCTCCAATTCGTGTGTCGGCGAAGCCTCCTCCTCACAATAAATCTCGACAAGAACACGGAAAAAGACCTTCAGCTTGCTGTGGAGGAGGCCACAAGGCTACTAACCCCATATCGTGTTGAGCTCGTTGATTTCACAAGCTTTGTTGACATGTCCTCTGATCCTGGCCACTATGTCATATTTTGGGAGCTTAATGCTGTCGAAGTTGGGGCCACTCTGCTAGAGTCATGTTGTAGTTCCATGGATCGAGCATTTGTTGATGCAGGCTATGTAAGCTCTCGCAAGGCCGGCCTTATTGGCGCATTAGAGCTGCGGGTGCTCAAAAGGGGCACTTTCCAAAAGATATTGGATCACTATTTGAGCATGGGTGCGGCCGTTAGCCAGTTCAAGATGCCTCGTTGTGTTGGGAGCTCCCACCAGGCAGTGCTGCAGATATTGAACAACAATGTTGTCGAGAATTATTTAAGCACTGCTTTTTAAGTTGGTTTTTAATGGAATGCTTGTCTAGAAGTAGGTTTTCCCAATTCTTTCTTTCTTTTCTTAAGAACAAGAGGGTAGCTTTCATGTATCTACAAGTATAGGAATCAAGATTTGAAGTGTGTTTTTTGTTCCAGCGATACTTTTCATAGTAGGATAATGGTGCTTCTAGACATTTCACATGCTACGAAAGGCGAAACTTCTTCAGAATCAGATTGGTGAGTCAGGTTGGCCACCCATTGGTTCCTAGCCGGATCACCGGTTCTCCACAATTGTTACCTACTAAAAATAAGAAAACATCAAATACCCCTGAAAACCCGTAGGAACATCAGCAATTCGAAGCTGGCTCAATAATTTTAAAACAATACTACTATGAGAGCACAATTTAGAAGAGGCATCGCAATTTGAGTGGGATTGTCTTTCTTGTACCAAACGATTTCATGTAAGATTTGTTAGTGTTACATATCTAAAATTCTTTTGTATTTCTTCATGGCTTATAATGGTGTTAACAAAAAGAGAGTGACGATGTTCTTCGAGTGGGATCAAGCTCAATCTCAACATGAAAGATGAGTTACTAATGAACATCGTATGGAGTTGTTATAGCACTAGTGAAATGGATTATCATATGAGCTCAATTTTAGCATTAAATTAATTAACATTGAATTACATTGATATACTGACAAATATCTCTTCTTTCGAAGTCGGTAATGACTCTCAACACTCCCCATCAGCATCACTTCACTATTAACACCAACCTGTACAAAGCCTCTCTCTTTCACAATACTCACCTTTGATGAGTTAAGTCTCTGATTGACAATATTCACTTTTCATGAGTCTGGTGTGTTACTCTCAATTAGGTATATAAAATTTTTCGTGAGTCTAGTGTGTTACTCTCAATTAGGTATAAAATTGGAAAATTTGGAGTTTCAAATCAACCGAAATAAAGTTTTAGAGTGTTTGGTTTTGAAAAAGAAATTTGAAGTATTTCTATTCTTAGCAACACAAAACATTGTTTGGGTCAATCTTTCTGTTCACAAGTGAGATAGGACAATCTTGAATTGCTTAAATTTAACACACCTAAAGCTCACTCAGAATAGCTGCAATGACTATATTTGCCTTATTCTCTTTCAAATTGAAGCAGGGTCACCGACCTTTCACTCTGGTTAGGCTGCCTAACCCAATCTATTTTGTACTTCTTTTATCTTTTCAAACCACTTCCACTCACTTCATCATAGCTATAGCAGATGAACATTAACTTCATCACTATGAAACACCTTTATTGGATTTAAAATTTCGATGATAAATTTTATCGAAGACGTGAAAGTCTGCTCCAACAAGATTTCGCAACTGAAAATAAATGAGATTTCTTAATTTTTTTTGAGAGATTTGTTCTGTATGACCTCATTTGCCGACCTTATCAGTTTCAATGAAAACTTTAGATCAGCCATGTGCTTTATAGTCCCCAAAATGCTCTAAAGAGAGTGGATTTCTGAGAGGTCTTTAGCAGGTGCTTCACGCGCTAAGTTCTATGCTGGGAGTATAATCAGTTAAGACACGGTTGTTTCACAAAGAGGTTACGTGTCAAGGGAGTCTAATACTTTGAGGGCAATACGAGCAACTCATTGTTGGCTTAAGTGTTTTTCTCCATTGTTTTTTCTTTTTATTTTCTAGTACTTATTTTTAATAACCAAAATGCTCTTAACCTAATTATATTGTGTTGCATTAAATCCTTTTTGCCATGTCTTTGAAAGAAAAAAAAAAAATCCATTTTCCAATTTTCACCAATTGGAATATTGTATCCTTAAAAACGAATGGGTTAGATGAGAGATATGGCGTTTTACTCTCTCTCACTACCCAATATTCCTCTCTCTGCAAATTTCCAGAGGTGTCTTGATCATAAGAGAGCACCCAAAAGCCTTGCAAGTTCACTCTAAGAAAAGCTCTTATACAATTGCCCATTACTTTCTCTCTCTAACCCAAAATCCTTGAGGCGCTTTATGTGCAGGAAACTTAGCTAATTTCCGGCAAACTTTTCTTGTAGTTGTGTGTTCATGTTGAGTTGCAATAAAAGAAATGGTGATGAAAGAGAGATTAACAACTCACATATGTGGCTCAGCAATAGTGCTTACGTTCACGGAGGCTAAACCAATATTTCATTCTTGGGGATTACTTTGGTTTAGAAGATATTTATAGAGTTACAATTCTTGTCTTTTAGGAAAAAAATTTCATACAATTGTAATCCCATAAAATATGAAACTTAATATCTTGTTATATACAAGATATGAAACTCAATATTTGGTTGTTGTAACTATCAAAACTCCCTTTCAAGTTGGTGCGTTTATATCTAAGGATCCCATCTTGGACAATATTGATGGAACTTTGTCTTTGCAATAGCTTTGGTAAATATATATGTAAGTTGGTCTTTACTTCAAAAATAAGGAAAACTAATAATTTTTTACTGAACATTTTCTCTCAAAAAGTGACAATCAACTTCTATATGATTGGTTCTTTAATGAGAAACTAGATTTGAGCATATATGCATAGCTGCTTGATTATTACAGAACATCTCTATTGGATTGACCGTTAGGAAGTCTATATCTCGAAGTAGGTATTTTAATCATATCAATTCATTTGTAGTTGAAGTCACAGCTTTATATTCGGCCTCGACACTGGATTGAGCAACTACATTTTGTTTTTTATTTTTCCAAGTAACTAAGTTTCCTTCGATCAATGTACAATAGTCAGTATTGGACCTCTTGTTAATTGGGCTACCTGCCCAGTTAGTATCAGAATAACCAATAATATTAGTGTTACCATTCGGTTTTATCCAAACACCTTTGCCAGGTGTTGACTTAAGATATATGAGAATCTTATTAAGAACCTCCATATGACCTGATCTAGGAGCATGCATAGATTGGTTCCTAAGGTTAACTGCATATATTATATCTGGACGAGTCACAGTCAAATAAATTAATTGGCCCACAAGTCTCTGAAAATGACCTACATCTTCAAGAGGTTTTCCATTTGTTAAATTACTATTCCAATTAATATCAACAGGGGTGTCAGCGGGTTTGTCTGCCAGTTTCTTTCAACAAGTCTAAACATATTTCTTTTGAGAAATGAAGAGTTTATTTTTTGAATGTGCTACTTCAATGCCTGGAAAATATTTTAGTTGACTAAGGTCCTAGATGTTGAATTTCTTGTGAAAATAATTTTTAAGCCTCAAGATTCTTTCTTTATCATTACGTATAACGATAATATCATCAACATAAATGGGTACCGATATTGTACCTGAAGTTCCCCCTTTTATGAATATCGAAGAATCAACTGAACTTCTAAGAAACCTGACATTCATCAAAGCTGAGCAGAGTTTGGTATATCATACCCGATGTGATTGTTTAAGTCCATACAATGTATTATTTAATTTGCATACAACATCTTTCTCCTTGACTTTAGAATGACTTGGAGGAAGACTCATATAGACTTCTTCTTCAAAGTCACCATGTAAGAATACTTTTTTTACATCCATATGATGCAAAAGACCACCCATAATTAATTGGGATAAACAAAAGAATACGAACGTTATTCATCTTAGCAACAAGAGCAAAAGTGTCTTTATAGTCGACTCTATAAATTTGGGTAAATCTTTTTGCCACCAACCTGGCCTTATGTCTCTCAACAGACCCATCACTATTATATTTGATTTTAAAAATTCACCTACATGGAACTGTTTTCTTCCATTTAGGTAATTTGACAATGTCCCAAGCATGGTTCTTGTCAAGTGCTTGAAGTTCTGTTTTCATGGCCTTCCTCTACACAGGTTGAGAAATGACACCTTGGAAATTAGTTGGCTCAGTATTATTAGAGATAAAATTCAGAAAAACAAAATGGTCAGGAGATAAATTTTCAGAGGAAATATGATTTTGAATAGGATAAGAAACTGCATGGTAGGTATAAAAATCTTGAAGTCTAGGGAAAGGTTGTGAGATACGAGAATACCTACGTAAGGGGGATCAGGTGGGGCAACGACATAGTGTTTTTCTTCTAAACCAGCTTGGTTAGTTTCAGTGGTATCTTCAACTTCGGCTTGATCAACATGACTTTGTTCAACTATGGCTTGATCATCATGACTATGGCTTGATCATCATGACTTGTGCTATATACATCACTGGTACTAATATTATACAAAGGCACACGACCTCTTGAACACTCCCCCTGAGTTCTATTTTTCAAACCAGTCTCCAATGTATCATGAAAATATGACTCTATTTCAACAAATTGAATATTTATAAAAATATGCATTTTTCTGGTTGTGGAATCATAATATTTGTATCCCTTTTGTGCAGGGGAGTATCCAAGGAATATACATCTACTAGAACGTTTACCAAGTTTATCCCGGTTGTGCTTAGCTACATGAACACAAGATATGCATCCAAATACACTCAAAAGGAACAAATCAATTTTTCGATTTTACAAAACTTCAAGGAGAGATTTATCTTTAAGAATTTTACTCAGAAGTCTGTTAATCAGATAGCAAGCAGTTAAAACAAGTTTAGATCGATAAATTTTTGCACATGCATTTGAAACATTAAAGACTTTGTAGCTTTCAAAAGGTGGCTATTTTTCCTTTTAGCAACTCTGTTATGCTGAGGTGTTCCAACACATGATGTTTTGAGTATAATACCAAGATTATATAAATACTTGGAAAAAGCTTTGTTCACATACTCTGTGCCATTATCCGTTCGTAAAATTCTAATCTTGCCATAAACTTGAGTGCAAATCAGTTTGAAAAATTCTTTGGACACAGGAAAAACTTCTGTTTTTTATTTCAATAAGTATACTAAAGTAGCACAAGACCAATCACCAATAAAAGTAACAAAATATTTAAAGCCTGCATAGGAATCAACAGGGGTTGGTCCTCACACATTAGAATGTATTAAATAAATGGTTCCTTCAAAACAAGCATAGAAGATTAAAAAGGAACTCGTATGTTTTGAGAATTTACAACCTTCACAAGAATGAGAGTTTAAAGATAGAAATTGTATTAAGATTTTCAAAACTTTATCTGAAGGGCATCCAAATATCTAATGCCACAATTTATTAATATCATAATTATCTTGACTGGCAACGAAAACCTT